GCGGGGCGAGGGGGACGAGGACTGGGAGGACGGGCCGCCGCAGGAGGTGGCGTGCCGCGTGGCCTAGGTAGGGGGATCTCCGCCGCATTGGCTGTGATTGACCACCCTTTTGCTCCATGCAGTTGATGCTATGTATTTGATTGCTCCCCCGTTTTTGCGACCTTCTGGGGAAGGGCCCACCCTTCCTCGTGTTGGCGGGGCCTGGCAGTGGACGTCCGAGCCTGCCAGTCTGTACTTCATCCCACGTATTGCTGTAATGCTCGCGCATCATTACAGTTTATTGAGAGGCAGCAACATTGTCACGATCATAATCCTCTGGGCAGCAGACAGGGCACTAGGGCAGGAGGCTTGCCCATTCGTCACGCGTCCGTCCTCATGTGGCGCGGCGGGCGGTTGCGCAATCGCCTGTAATATGGCGCGCCCTGGTGACTTCCTGTTCGTGCATTCAGGCAACATATGGTCCATTCTTTCGACAATTCAGCGTCAACATCATCCCTCCGGCAGCACCGTGTGGCGACCAGTGACCTCGACGGCACTTGCCCACATTTTGACGTCCTTTTCTCTTATAACGAGCGCTTAGATCATTTAAGTCGCATGCATATGGCAGGCGGACCCCACGCTCAGGGTCGTGCGCAGCAACGCCACGCAGACCGTGTGGCACGTGCGAATGTGACGATCCGCCGCCGCCGCACGTGCACTCCAGCGCGCGTCTGCAGGCCAGCCGTCACGAGTCATGCATGCAGGTCGGAACAGCAGCATGGTGCAACGGACGGGCAGGGCAGCCAGCTGTCCGACGGCGGCGAGCGCTTGAGATCGCTGGGCCGCCAGCTGCTAGCGGGCGCGTGCAGCTTGGCCATCATTGCGGCGCCACCGGCGCCTGCAGAAGAGGTGCGCGCCGCGTCATGCCCCCGCGACTTCCACTCAATTCACCTTGTGGCCCGGCTGCGCCGCGTGAGATTGACAACACTGCTGATTTCATCCAATTGGTCCTTGAAGGATGCATGGAATGTCACCTCAAGCGATCGGGATCAAGGCCCGCTTTTCCCGGGCCCAGCACCGCCACCTGCAACTCTGCCGGCCCCCTAGCAGCCCCGTCCGACGGCCGACCCGCAGCACCAGCCGCCGCATCGCGTCGTGTCATATAGCACCACACCACACGACATCTTCAAATCTTGCCCAGGTCACCATCCGCTTCAAGGCGTCTGCGGACCCCCAAATCAGGGCCGCCCAGGAGCGGCTTGTGGAAGCCTGGGGTGAGGGCTCGCTGCTGGGGTGGGGCTGGGGGCATCAGCAGCAGCGGCTGCAGCGGAGGCAGCGGCAGCAGCAACAGCAGCAACAGCAGCAAGAGCAGCAAGAGCAGCAAGAGCAGCAAGAGCAGCAAGAGCAGCAAGAGCAGCAAGAGCAGCACCACAGAAGCAAAAACAGCGAGGGGAGCAACAGCAGCAGCAACGGCGAAAGCAGCAGCGGCGACAGCGACGGCAGCAGCGAGAGCAGCTAGAATAGTGACGCGAGCAATAGCAGCAGCAGCTCCAGCAGCAGAAGCAGCAGCAGCAGCAGCAGCAGCAGCAGCAGCAGCAGCAGCAGCAGCAGCAGCAACAGCAGCAACAGCAGCAGCAGCGACAGCACAGAGGCAGCATCAGAGAAGTGTCAGCCCATGTGGCTGGTTGAGTGCACGCTCTCTCAATCACCTATCAGACCCCGCGCGGCTGCGCGCACAGCGGCTCTCGCTCGACCACCCTTGAAGCCCCAATCCCGCGGCGCCCCGATGCACGCGGCCCAGGCGCACATCCCCTTCCCTCTGGTGCACCGCGCCAGCCAGGACGCAACACACGTACCCCGCGCGGCGCCCTCTATTTGTACCCCCCCAAAACCCCCCGCAGCCTACACCAGCGCCCTGCACGTGGACCCGACCCTCAACAACCAGGGCCCCGCCAAGTACCGAGCCCGCCTGCAGGACGCCCTCGCGGCCAGCTTCTCGGCAGCTTCCCCCGAGGACGTCGACGCGCAGCTGGCGCAGCTGCTGGCGTCGCTGGGCGACCCGTTCACGCGTGCGCTGCCGCCGCGGCAGGCGGCGGCGTTTGCCGCAGAGGAGGAGGGGAAGGTCGGCGGGCGCGTCACTTACTATTTGATTCGTGTTTAGGCCGGACTCAGCACTTCACGCCTGATTTTGCTGTTTGGACATCCTCAACTGGGCACTGGTCAGGGCTTTTGGTGTGCAGTGAGAAAAGGCGGTTTGCGCCTTGCGCGACATCAGGGTGGAAGCGGCAGCCAGACCGTCGGCTCCCTGCGCAACCACGCCTTCCGCAGCCCGAGCCCTCTTGAACCCTACCGCCGCTCGCCGCCCGCTGCCGCCGCTGTTCCCCAGGTGCTCTCCGTGGGTCTCGGCCTCGCTCCCTCGAAGACCGGCGGCCTGTCGGTCTCTTTCGTGGTGGACGGCGGCGCGGCCGCGCGCGCGGGCGTGAGAGAGGGCGATGAGCTCGTGGCCGTCAACGGGGCCCCAGTCAAGCGCGGCGCGACGCCGGGGTGAGATGCTTGCTTCAGATGCATGGGCACAGACGAGGGGCAGCAGCAGCAGCGGCGGCAGTGCGCGAGCAGGATGTGAGCAGAGTCAGCACTCAGCTGCGCCGCTTGTATGAGTAATGGTTGTGATGATTGTAGACGGGCAGTTTCGGCGGGCCCGTTGCTCATTGCAGGTGGCGATGCGGAGCGCTGCTGATGTCTGTAATCAGAGCTTGAGTCATCGCCGGGCCCCACACCACCACACCTTGACACCCACCCACCACCCCCCCTCGCCTCGGCTGCTTTCGGCCGCCCCCTCAACTTCAGGGACGTTTATCCGCTGCTACAGCAGCAGGCAGACCTCAAATTTCGACGCAGCACCAGCAGCGGCAGCGGCGGCAGCAGCGGCAGCAGCAGCGGCGGCGCGGTGCCGGGCCTGGGGACGTTCTTCACCGCGCGGCTGGAGCCGGCGCCGATCGAGTTCGTGCCGGTCCAGTTTGCCCTGCTGCCTGGCGGGGACCAGCGCGCAGGCGCCGGCATCACCAGCGGCGGCGCATCCTCTCGTGCCTCCGGCTCCTTTGGGGCGTCGAGCCGTGCGCGGTCCGCCGCAGACGGGCCGACGCGGCTCGGCGGCGTCGCGACGGCGGCGGCAGGGCCAACGGAGGCACGGGGCGGCGACGGCGGCGGCGGCGCCGGCGGCGGTGGTGCTGGGATCATACGCGGCAGCGACGGGGGCGGCATCGGGTACGTCAAGATTGTGGTGTTCTCAGCCACGGCGCCAGAGCAGCTGGACCGGGCTCTGAAGGAGCTAGCGGCGGCAGCCGCCGGAAGTGACAGCGGCAGCAACAGCAGCAGCAGCGGCATCGACGGCGGCCTCGGCAGCAGCAGCGGCAGCGGCGGCAGGAGTAGCAGCGGCGGCAGCGGCGGCGGGGGCCTGAGGGGGCTGATCCTCGACTTGCGTGACAACCCTGGGGGTGACGTTCAGGCCGGGGTCGAGGCGGCTCGCGACTTCCTGCAGCCAGGGTCCCTGCTGGCTGTGTGAGCGGCTCGTCTCATTCCCCTCAGGCTGCCGGCTTGCAAGGGGGCTGTTGCGCGCGAGCTTGTGCCCCAGAGGGGGCAGGCAGTCGTGCACTTCACCTTACTTATATGTAGAGGCGCCCATTCGTACTACAACGCCGCCCTGCATAGCGCCCGTTCTGACGTTTTCCAGGCTTGTATGACGCCGCCTGCCTCGCCTTTTTTGCAAACCCACCCGCAGGGTCGTCGACCGCGCTGGGGTGGAGGAGCCCGTGGTGCTCACAGAGACCCACCCCCTGCTGCCCGACCGCCTTCCGCTGGCCGTGCTGGTCAACGGCCGCACGGCCTCCACCGGAGAGCTGCTGGCCGGCGCGCTGAGAGACTCCTACCCCGGTTCCAAGCTCATCGGTGGGTCGCTTGGTCCTTGACCAAAGCTCGATCAAGGGTTGACCAAAGGGTTGACCAAGGGGTTGACCAAGGGTTGACCAAGGAGTTGACCAACGTTTTTCAAGGGGGACGACCATGGGCTCATCATTAGCAGGCTTTGAGTTGAGCTAGGTCCACCTGCAATCGACTGCAGCTCACGGCGGCCATGACGAGCGAATGTTTGAGCTTGGAATTGAGGACATGAAGCTTGACCAATTTTGGACGGATGGTGGAGGCAACGTGATCTTGCACGATCAGCGTTTGCGGGCATGCAGATGCACATCCAGGGTGCCGGATGTGCATGAACGCCGGATGCACGCACCTCACCTGTGCACGTGCAGGCGAGCGCACGTTTGGCAAGGGGCTGAGCCAGAGGGTGGTGCAGCTCAAGGGCGACTGGACACTGCTGGTGTCAAGCTTAAAGGTGGGCTGGGCTCGGGTGGGCTTTCATGTTGAGTTTTTTCCATTGCGTGAGTTGGCTTTGCCGTGCCGTGGTGGTGCACCAACGTTGTCTTGAAAGCGCAAATGCAACCTAGGCCCAGCGATGCTGCCATGCGCCTTGTCGCATCTCCCGGTGCTGTCAGCCCGTGGATGCGATCTTGCCCCTCCCACCCGCGCCCACTCGCCGCCGCACCCGATTTCGCACCGGGCAGCTTCTGACGCCCAAAGGCGAAGAGATCCAAAAGTCCGGCATCCGACCAGACGTCTCCTGCCGCCCGCCCGTGGTGGTCCGCGAGCGCTTCGAGCCCGGCGCCGCGGGCGGCAGCCGAGTGGACGCGCTGCGGCAGGATCCCTGCGTGAAGCTCGCGCTGCAGCAGCTGAGCGCGGCCGGGGCTGCGGCCCCGGCGGGGCTTGGGATTTGAGCGGGCAATACAGCCGATTTGGGGGGCTTCGCATGGGCAGATTTGGTCTCTTTGACGCTGTCTTTGCAGGTGTTGCTCTGGCCGGTCGTATTTGAAACGCAAGTGGCATGCACTTTTGGATCCTGACATCATATCTTGGGTCTGCTGCGGCCAATCTGGGCAGGCACCGGTGCCATCGACTTGCCGCGATGCTGGTTGACGCCTGCGCGCTGTTGTTTGTCTGCAGCGGTTTGAATAGCAACTCCATCCATCATACCTTCATCCATTCTGGAACGCAATCCAATTTTCACCATGATTGCGTGCCGAATACATGGCGTCGCCCGCTGACGGCGGCCGCTTAGCTCCCGGGCAGAAAGGCAGTGCGCTATGCGGCATCAACGCATGGGCGGCAGCCGGCTGGAGCATGCGCTTAATCGCGGCTGATGTGAATTCCGATCACTTGAGGTAAAAGTTGTAAGATTACAAGTAATCCGTTTGACTCGTTTTTTTTGAAGAGCGTATTGCTAAGGAGGTGCAATTTGCGGGCACAGGGTGTTGGGCAGCTTCAGAAGTGCAGGCGCAGCTCCTCAGTCGTGCACCCAGGCCTTCCATAAGTTGCTGGGTCCTACTGCCGGACGTGATCTCTGCTGCAGCCCTGCGACAGCACCACAGACGACCACTCAATCTGCCGCAGCACCGTTTCGCCGCTTGGGCGGAGCACTCTGCTGCACGTCAGTCAAAATGTTTAGCGCGTTTGCGGACTGCAGTTGAAAGTTGGCCGAGCGCTCGGTCTGCAGCGCTGGCGCCGTAACACGCCTTCACTTGCCGAAACAGTGCTGACGTTGGCAGCAGCCAGACAAAACGAAGTCCACAACAGCGCCTCAACTGTCTGTGGCCTCCCACTTGGTCAAACCTGGGTCAACCCTCATCACAGAAGGCCTGCAGGTGGTCAGATCCATGTCTGAGTCCCTTAAACTCATGGCTCCTCCTTACCCCCCTTTCAGTGATCGCTACCCCCTCATGGGCAGCCTCCAGGCCGTTTTTCCTGCTGAATGTGCATCTCGTGACATCTGCATTTCAGAAGGGTCCTTCTCCGGCGCCCACGCAGCAGGCGGCTACTCGTGCGCAACTCGGCGCCTGTGGCCCCGCCTGCACCCTCGCCGCCGCGCGTCGGAGGGTCCCCATCGTAAGCACGCCTGTGCCCGCGCGAGCCGCATGCCTCCGGGCTGCCCCTATCCCTCCCACCCTTCCCTCATCCGGGCGTTCACCGCGTGGTTGATGCACGAGGCCCGCCTTTGTGACTGGGAGTCCCAGCAGTATTACACACTCAGATTATAGTTGTTGGGTGGTTTCAAAATGTTCAAAGGCCCTAGAGCCATATTTGGACAAATAAGAAGTTTACGGCTAGAACAGGTTTATGCGCAGCGGCGCCCCCGGCGGCGCCTCAGATGCAGGCTGGCGTGTTAAGGAACGCTCCCAAAAGCGCGGCGGCCACAGGCGGCCCTGCTTGGCCGCGTACGCAGC